ATGGGCTTCACTTGTCCATTTGACGAGTTGTAATATGGTGCTACGAATAGCGAGACTCACTGACGATGCCAACTATAATGCTATTGGGGGGTTGTAATATAGTGCTACGAATGGTAAAACTCACTGACGATGCCGACTAGGATGCCCGCGAAACGTTTGGGAATGTACCGCGTCCACGGTCCGACTTTGGAAATAATTATGCATAAAATGGACTCAGTACAAGGTGCGTCCCTATAAGTCTTCCTACTAATATGACCAAGTTGCGAAAACAAGGTCAAACAACTTCTAAACATCTTATGATTTATGAGATTTACGTATTCACCCAATTTCGTTTAAGGTTCTAGGGAGACTGGTAGTTGATTTCCCCCAAATTACGTTTCTATTAAGTATTGCGTAGCTTTGCTTTCGCAAAAGATATGTTCTACTAGGATGGAATGCAGTTTCGACCTCACATAATTTCACCCCCATCGGGACTCGAACCACGACAGTGCAGCGTATAATCTCAACACGTTAACCGCTACGCGATATTGTCACGAATGCCATTAAGTCGCAGGGAAGGCCAAATATCTTCCCCTATCACATTCTGTGGTAGAATTGTCGATGAATAAAGGTTATATTTGCCATAGAAATCGACTACATTACTTATTTTTCGTTTTTATAAAAGGCTTTCAAACTACCAGCAGATCATGTATACATGATATACGAACAAAAAATAAGTAATATAATTTATTGCTATATCAAATAAAGCGTTGCTTCATCGAAAATCCCACCACAGAATGTGATATGGGAAAGTGCTTGGCCTTCCTTGAAATTCACATCTTCTCTATAATCCAAGGATACTCGTGACAACGTGGCAAAGTGGTAACGTGTCTAGAGTATACACTGCATTGTCATGGTTCGAGTCCCGCTGGGGGTGCTGAGACATAGGAGAGGTCGAAACTGCCGTTCATCATAGATTAGAATACCTTCTAGGAAAGCAGGGCTATGTGAAATTACTCATATCATTTTGGCATAATTCAACTACCACCTATTATAACCGTAAAAGATGTAGAATGAATACAGCTCATATATATTGTCTAATTGTAGTCTCGAAAACTTGCTTATAAAAACGAAAAATCTTATGGAAAGTATGAAGACCAAGATGGTGTGGCCTTTTTTGTGGTCGCAGTCTACTTCCGTTGTATAAACGTTGTTTGACCTTGTTTTCGCAACTTGATCATATTGGTAGGAAGACTTATAGGGACGCACCTTGTCCTGAGTCCATTGTATGCATAATTATTTCCAAAGTCGGACCGTGGAGGCGGTACATTTTCAAACGTTTCGCCGGCTCTATCTCATTATCCCATAAATAAGCAATTTCTTGTCATGCCTCTTATTTATCAAATCCCGAACCCTCTGTGACTTCTGGTCCGTCATGCTCTAGAGTTTTGTTAAAATCATCCAAAGTGAGAACCCCACCTAGATCCTTCCTTAATCTAGACTTGAGATCTATGAACTTAAATAGCTTACGCCTCTCAGTCTCGCAACTTTCCTCTAATTTCTGGATGGAGGCGTAATAAAGTATTTCATTAACTGTGTCCGAATGATACTTTTTCATTAAAATGCAGAAACGGGGAGCGATACCATAATGTTAGCAACAATTCAAAAAGGTCAAATGGCAAGATTGACTTACAATTGCCTTCATTGTTCGGCTGTAATTAGTGCATTGTTTGGAAATCTTACTTCCATAGATTAATCGAAAGTATGAAGACCAAGATAGTGTGGCCTTTTTTGTGGCCGCAGTCTCCTCGTTGTATAGAAGTTGTTTGACCTTGTTTTCGCAACTTGGTCATATTGGTAGGAAGACTTATAGGAACGCATCTTGTCCTGAGTCCATTGTATGCATAATTATTTCCAAAGTCGAACCGTGGACGCGGTACATTCCCAGACGTTTCGCCGGCATCGTCAGTGAGTCTCGCCATTCGTAGCACCATATTACAACTCGTCAAAGGGACAAGTCCAATTCACGAAATCTTTTCAAACAATTTTTCCTTTGGAATTAAAAACTAATTAATATTAAATTAGCTTTTTCTTTTATTACAACTTTTTTTGTCTTCCTGCTTGGTGAATTATTGGAAAATAATGGTTTCCTACATTGACGATGCGTGCCACATGACAGACAAAAGTTCAGCACAGATTCGTCGGAGTAGCGGGAAGGTGCGTTGATGACTTATTCACAAAGGCCTAGTCTCAATCCCAAGACAATCGTCCTTCAGATTCCGATGAGGCCAACTAACGAAATAAAAGGTGCGCCAACATCTGTTTATAAATGCAATCCTAAGCTCTAGAATAGGATATACTTATATCAGATGTATAAATAGGAATTATAGGATTTACCTACAATGACTAGCTTCTACTATAACAAAAATACGAACGCCTTTTTTAAGGCTCGACAAACCAGCTTTATTATCACCATTTTCGCAATCCTCACGTAGTAAATGGTAACAACAGGCCACATTGACAAGCCCCACAGCATTTGCAGAACGAGTGAAGGTACGCAGAAGAGTAGCACTTAGTCCACCACAAGCGTGAAGGCCTAAAGAAGCAATAAATATAATTAAAATGTTACGCACTCAATATACAAGTGTGAAAATTCACGATAAAAGTAAATATCTTTAAGTAATTACTGATGCCCAAACCGAATATCTAAAATATGAAGAAAGCTGGTCACTTCCAATCTAAGACATTTCCCTATACTGTTGATGGAAATAAACTAGCATCAGGACAATAGATTGTGAAGAAAGCTTCGCTGCGACTTAAAGGAACAGAGGTAATAATAATAAAATAACTCATACATCCCATAAAATAAGTGATTAAAAATATGTAGTGTAGAGTAGGCATAGCTACAAAAAGTTTATTAAAATGCAAAGATAGTACAAGTGCAGATTTCCGCGTTTGTCAAATTTACTGCGAAATTGGGCAGATGCAAAAAAAAAAGATAATTAGATACCTTGAAATAAAAAATAAGCTGGCTGCTGTCAGTTAATACCAATGGTTTCTTCACTAGATTCTTCATACCCTCTTTTCAAGTATGGAAAACTATAGACAATCAGAAGGGTGAATAGACTCATGATTCCTAAATAAATGGACACTCACGCATACGAATGGTGGCTAAGCTTTATTAGTCTATTAAAATAATATTATTGTGGAGACATTTTATGAAAATGCATGATGAAGCGATTCGCTGGTTGACCTCATTTGAAGACGTCTGAATTCCGCTGTTCTGAAGTTGTTTGGCTCTATTATGACATTCAGGTTGGTGAAGTACGCGAGATATCGTTTCAAATAAAACCAAGCCGAGCTTTCGTCCGTAATATGACGGATATCATCAGAGCTGGAGCTTATTTTTGTAAAAGTTGTATCAAAGCCAAACGGCCGTAAAACAACGAGGATCGTCTTCTAAGAAACTAACCAAAGCATCATGCATTTCAATGTGAAATGAAAGTATCCACAACAACATTTGCACTTACCAGTTAGCAGCACGGAGGTTCGAGGCGTTGGTAAATTAGAAGTCAGAATTTCGTCCAGCTGCTCTGATGAATCTACTGAACAGGCTAGTGAAATGCAGGATGACTCAGGAACAACCTGGCATATGGAAAATGGAATATACAAATATCATAGTAGGAGGAATACAAACAGCTAAGTTAAAGGAGTACCAGATAACTCAATAAAAGTAAAGAATCAGCCCGCATAATGAAAACTAAGGTTAAAGTTGAGCTGTTAAAAGACAATTTGAGGATCAATGGAAGATTTTACATCATTTGGTGACTTCAAAATGGAGGCTGCTAAGAGGAATTTAGAAATCCACAAATTTTAATTTATCGGCAACCAAATTAAGCTTCAAATTATTCATTTATGCCCATCCGGATTTAGGTGACTAATTTGATTCAGGTAAATTTTAAAAATATAATCATAAATGAAGGTTACAGTCGTGGATCAATAAGATATAATGCTTACAATATAGAAAGGAGATAAATTAGAAAAGTCTACGAAAAATAGATACTATATCTATATTGAACCAG